TCACGTTGTGACTGTTAATAGTCGTTCAGGCGGAGAATCGAAATTAGTCAGTTTAACTAGCAAAACGCCAGCACCACACATGGAGGTTAGGAGTGCCATTTTAGGGGATCGTTTTAACCAATTTATCCTTTTTTCCTTCCCAGTTTTATTTGCGGGGGTGGGGGAAGCTCGGACATTTAACACATGTGGTTGATATATACCACACACCTGGGATGGTGTTGTCCAAAATAAAAGCCACACAGCCTCCGACAAACATAGCAGTTGTGAGAAGGACGTTCAACACCTGGTCGATTCCTGTTATCCCTGGAAACAGAAGAGAGGTGTAAGAGGCTGTGGCCATTGCCAAGATGGGCCTGCCCTTGACTCAGAAAGGAGCGAGGAGCGGGCCTGGCACCCATCCCTAGACCGTTACAGGGAGTAAATGTGTGGCTTGCCCAGTCGCACACGGGAAGACACATTTCTGCCAGAATGCTTTAAACTGTTATAATTGCTCTCTTTTTCTTCTTTCTTTTTTTTTAAAGAATTACTTTATTCAACTTTATTTATTTATTTATTTTAATTTGACCAGAGAGGGACAGAATCAGTGAGTGAGAGAGAGAAAGTGAGAAAGTAAGTTGCCAGGTCCAGGACTCGAACCGTCATTGGTCATGTAGGAGTCCAGCACCCCTCCCTTTTTCTTTTTCTTAATGGCTATGGGATACAGGAGCTCACCAGAGACAGGAGAGGGGGGTAGAGAGAGAGAGAGAAAGTAAGAAATCACTCCCCAGAGAGGATGGCCATGCCCTAATCCCTTCTCTTCCATTCTTCTCTTGGGATTGAGGTTCGCATGCATACATGCCCAGCACGGTTATCAAGCCACAGGGTCCAGGACTTGAACCATGCAGTCAGCCATGTGGGATCTAACTGCTGTAACCACCACGCCACCAGCTGGTCCTATAAATATTGGGCTGTCAGAAAAGTCATGACATACTTCTTTTGTTTTTCTATGCAAAAATACATCATGACTTCTGACAACCCAATAATTTCAACAATGGCCCAAAGATACCTACATCATAAGGAAAATTCCTAACAGTAACAAATAAAGAATCTAGTGGATTGTTCATCCCATAATGAACTATGAAACCACTGGGGGTTATTATCTGCAGATTAAAAAAAAAAAGAATTCAAAGTAAAATATGGCTGTTGTAAGATTGGAAAACTTATGATGTGGGTAATAAAACAACAAAAGTACTTGCGGGAGCTGCAATCCAACAAGGGTATCAGTGTCCCGGTTTATAATTAGTGCTTTGCTGTTTCTAATCAGGAGCAATTGGATTTATAAAGATGTTTTCCCATGAATTTGATAAATTAAAATGTAAAAGGCACAAAGAATCTCATGATTAGGAAGTTCATACACTTCTGTATTGAAAATAGAATGCTCCCAGCAGAAAGCAGCAAGTGTCAGTAAGGATGTGGGAGGTGGGAACCTCAGTACAGAGTGGCCACCGTGGAAAACAGTTAGACAGTTCCTCACAAAGTTAGGCGAGGAATTACAACATGCCCCAGCCACTCCACTTCTGGGTCTTTGCTCATAAAAACTGAAAACAGGTGATCAAATACAACCCGTGCTCATTAGTTGAGGACTCTGTACTTGTGAATCCACCCGTACACTAGAATCTAGTTGTGAAATCCACACCCAACACTGGCCATGCTCACATCCCTCACGGGTATGTACAGAGTAGGGGAAAATCTGATTGCCTGACACATGCCTCCGCCGAGGTCAGAGAGGCGACCCTCGCCTCTTGTCCTAGTTCCCACACTGTACACAAACATCCTTTACACCAGCGGTCCCCAAACTTTTTGGCACTGGGGACCAGTTTCATGGAAGGTAATTATCCCATGGACTGGAGCGGAGGATGGTTTCAGGATGAAGTGCACTACATTTATTGTTTACTTTATCATCAGTATTATATTATAACAATAAGGACCAGTACTGGTCCATGGCCTGGGGGTTGGGGATCTTTGCTTTATACAGTCTACTCAGCACAGGTGTGTCACATTTTGTGCTTTTAATTGACAATTCCACTTTAAAATATATATTTCCTTTAATGTATTTGTCATTATTATTGTATTTAATTTGACCAGAGTGAAACAGAGAGAGAGAGAGAGAGAAAGTGAAAAAGCAAGCCACCAGGTGTGGGACTCGAACCGTGGTCAGTCATGTGGGAGTCCAGCCTTTAATCACCATGCCACCTGCTGGCCCTGGCCACTCCACTATTTAAAATGACTACACGGCGTTGTGCTTAAGTACTGTCTGTGTCCCTAAGCGCAGGAAGGCTGTGGAAGATGCTAAATGAGACATGTTCAGGCGAGAGTTACAGTATGATCGGCTGACTTTACCCCAGGAACCGTGGTTTGGTATTTTCTGACTATGGCATATTTACTTATTCATTCATTCATTCATTCATTCATTCATTCATTTATGGGGAGGTTTTTTGCTATAGGGCACGTGCACTTGCCAGAAAGACACAGAGAGACAGAGAGATAGAAAGCGAGAAATCACCCTCCAGGGGGGATGGCTGTGCCGCAATCCCTTCTACTCTATTCTCCTCTCGGGATCTTGGGCACAACATGCACACACTGGCGTGAGTTTAAGCCACCAGGTCCAGGACTCGAGCCGCGGTTGGCTACATGGGAGTTCAGAGACATAGCCATTAAGCTAACTGCTGGTCCCTGACTATGGCATCTTTACAGAACATAACTGCCATGTACTTGTACACCAATATTCACAATAGCCAAAAGGTAGAGATGACTCAACTGCCTGTCAATGAGTGGGTAAACAAAATACGGGATGCACACATGGTGGTACATACTGAGTCATAAAACTAAATGTCTCAGATTACATGCTACAACATGGAAGGAGCTCTAAAACATCATGCTAAGCAAGAGAAGCCAGACACGAAGGGTCGCTATTGTATGATCCCATCTCTGGGAAATGTCTAGAACATAAGAATCTTAGGAACAGAAAGCAAACTGGAGATTGTCAAGGGCTGGGGAAAGAGACAGAGCATGGCTCCTGACTGCTTAATGAGCATGCAGTTTTGCCTTGAGGTGATGAAAATGTTTTGGAAACGGATAGAAGTGGTAGCTGGATAACACTGTGAATGTCACCGAACTATTTACCTAAAAATGGATCATCTGAGGGCCCAGCAGATGGCATGGTGGCTGGGGCACACTGGCCTCCACATGATCAACCATGCTTTGAGTCAGCTTGAAACTCATGCTAGGCATGCATGCATGCTCAAAATCCCAAGAGGGGGAGAGGCAGATGGTGTAATGGTTACATTGCTGGACTTCCATATAGTCGACTGTGGTTCAAGTCCTGGATCTGGCAGCTTAAAACTCACACCAACTGCATGTGTGTGTGTGTGTGTGTGTGTGTGTGTGTGTGTGCATGTCCAAAATCCCAAGAGAAGAATGGAGGAGAAGGGACTATGGCAAGGCCAGCCCCCCTGGGGGGTGATTTCTTACTTTCTGTCTCTCTGTCTCTCCAACGAACACACGCACCTCCCAGGAAGGATGGAGGATAAGGGCCGTCCTCTCCCGAAGAGAGGGATTTCTCACTTTCCTTCTCAGTGTCTATGTCTCTCGGTAAGCACAGGTACTCTATGGCAAAAACCTTTTTAAAAGGTTAATTTTATGTAAATTTTGCCGGCAAAAAAGGGTCCTCAATTCTGGGTTTGCTGTTAATATCAGTAGCGAAAGCTGTTTTATAAATGGTCCCTCTTGGGACCAGCAGTTAGTGTAATGGTTATGTCACTGGACTCCCATGTAGTCGAACGCAGTTCGCGTCCTGGACCCGGTGGCTTAAAACTCACGCTGGGCGCGTGTGCGTGCGTGCCCAAAATCCCTAGAGGAGAATGGAGGAGAAGAGATTGTAGTGTGACCATCTCCCCGGGGCTGGGGGGTGATTTCTCACTTTCTTTCTCTCTCGCTCTCTATCTGGCAAGTACACACGCCCTACAGCAAAAACCTCCCCCCCCCCAAAAAAAAGAAGAAGAAAAGAAATTACATATCTTAATACAACATTAGTTGGAGAAGTCAAAAGATTTTCCAGAGGCATACTCTCTAAAGAGAGAGTTTGGTTTGGGACCAGCAGTTAGTGTAATGGTTATGTCGCTGGACTCCCATGTAGTCGACTGCGGTTCGCGTCCTGGACCCGGTGGCTTAAAAACTCACGCCGGGCGCGTGTGCGTGCCCAAGATCCCGAGAGGAGAATGGAGGAGAAGGGATTGTGGCGTGGCCATCCCCCCTGGGAGGTGATTTCTCGCTTTCTGTCTCTCTGTCTGGAGAGCACACACACCCTATAGCAAAAAAATAAAATAAAATAATCTCTAAAAAAAAAAAAAAAAGGAAAAGAGAAAGAGTTTGGTTTAAAATTAAAAAAAAGAGAGAGAGCGATCTTAACATCCTCATCACTGATACGCAATGTCGGCTTATGTTAAACTGCTGGGAAGTGCACTAGGTTGAAAAGAGATGCAGATGTCAAAGTTCCAAAGTCCTCGCTGCCTGGTGAAGGGCTGGGTGTGAAATGGTCCCAACTCCCCCAAGGTTCTAGGCCCATTTCCGTACCTGTAACAAGAGGATTCTGTCTAAGGTAACTTGGAAGGACGAGCCCAAAGAAGATTGAAAATCCAAGCACAAAGAGGTTCCGGGACGAGTTTAAATCGATGAACTGCAGGTTCGAGAGGCCAACAGCCGTGATCATTCCTGGAGAGAAAAACGGCAGACCGTTATGTTATCACCAGCAGCATGGACGACAGGTTCCTTGCAGCAGTTCCATTCAAGGCAGAACCCCTGGTGCCAGTTCTCTGCCCATCAGAAACAAACTGGGAGACCGGCTCAGTGCAGGAAGCGGGGAGGTGAGGGTCTCTGCATGTACCAGCCTGCTTTCTGAGTCTAAGCACTATTTGGGTGTACAGAGGGGCACTGATGTGACACTGCACTTTCTTTAGGTCAAGTAGAAAACTGGCATGAATTCCCCCTCTACGCAAATACTTGATAGAGAAAACCACTGAAATACCAGCACATGTCTCCGATTACTCCAACTGACAGGTGCAAAGATGGAATCCTGAGTCCTCATGTAAAAATGGTCTGTTTAAATGGCCCATTCAGTGGGAATTTAACTTTTAGCTAAATCAGTTAGAAACATTAATCAAACAAACTAGACTTAATCTTACGTTTTGCAGCATAATTATTCTTTTTGCTGATTCTTTAATAGAAGTTCAACTCAGAAAATGAAGTGGGTTTTTATTTTTGAAAACATATCCTTCCGTATTTTATTTATTTTTTTTTAATTTATTTTTAGGGGCTTTTGCCTTAAGGTATGTGTGCTCCCCAGAGAGAGAGAGAGACAGTGAGAAGGAAAGCGAGAAATCATCCCTGGGGGATGGCATTGCTGCAATCCCTTCTCCTCCGTTCTCCTCACAGGATCTTAGGCACACACACACAAAGCACCTGGCATGACTTTCAAATCACTGGGTCTGGGACTCAACCACAGTTGGCCATGTGGGAGTCCAGCCACGCAAACATTATGCCATCTGCTGGTCCCTCCTTCTGTACTCTAAAATAAAAATTTAGAGGCTGGCAAGTGGCATGGTGGTTAAGGTGCTGGACTCCCACATGGCTGAGCACAGGTAGTGTCCCAAACCTAGCAGCTTGCTTTCTCCCTTTCCCACTCTCTGTGTGTCTCTCTCTGGTCAAATTAAAAAAAAAAAAATAATAACAATGATAAATAGAATTAAATAAGCTATTCTTTTTGATAAATGGATACATAAACATTTATTGCTGCCTTTAATCTTACTGAAGGGTGTGGCGAGCACTGCGTACAGAAGCCATCTTGAGCTATCCACTATCTTGGAAACCATTAGGCTTCACTTCCTCACTGAGCAAATCATTTCTCAGAAATCATGTGACCAAATGTTCTCCCCGGAAGTGGTTGGGTTTCTTGGCAACGGGAGAGATCCACCCACATCAATGATTGGTTCATGCTGTTCTATCTCATTTGCATTTCGGGCAACCAATTGGTTCCCACCAGCTGTATATAACTCGCCATTTCTCCTCAATAAATGGAAGTAGATGGAAGAAGATGACTTGATCAGCACCTCGTATTGTGTATGCGTGTGTTTGTCCCATCTCTCACTCCCTCCCCCAAGGAACCTGTTTGACTGTCCCGCGGGTCGGGGCAGAAGGGAGTCTGCAAAAAGCCTGTGATCCTGTTAAATATTAGTGAACATAAAGAAAGGAACCTGAAGGCCAGCAGGTGGCATGTTGGTTAAGGTAAATGGATTCCCACATGGCCAACTGCAGTTCAAGTCCTGGACTCAGTGACTTGAAAATCACACAAGGCATGTGTGCATGCATGCCCAAGATCCCAAGGGAAATATGGAGAAGACTGTGGCATGGCCATCCTCCCTGGGTGTGTGTGTGTGTGTGTGTGTGTGTGTGTGAGTGATTTCTCACTTTCCCTCTCTGTATCTGTTCTCTGGTGAGCACATAAACCCTATGGCAAAAACTTTAATTTAAAAAAAAAAATAAAAAAAGAAAGAAAGAAAAGAAAGGATCCTGTGAGATAAGAGGCTAGCGAAGCAGTGGAATTTTACCGAAGAGCGTGCAGAAGAGGGCTCCGAGCACAGGGTCTGGAAGGGAGGCGAAGAGGGCGCTGAACTTCCCGATCATGCCCAGGGCAAGCATGAGGGCCGCGCCATACTGGATCACCCGGCGGCTGCCAACCTGTGGACACACAGAGGTGGAGACTCACCTGCTGTCCTCTAGCCAGGCCTCCTGGGGCCCAGGGCGAACATGACAGATCCTCGGACGAAACCTAGATTCTTCTGTCAAAGTTTGTGAACAGGGATTGCTCTCAATACACAATTACCATAGATGACTGAAAAGCTCCCAGAGGAGAGACTGCCATGGCCTTCCCTCACTCCTCTCTCCTCCTCTCTTGCCTGGACTGTGGGTGGCTCCGGGATCGGCCTTTGCTTCTCCATGCTCTGGCTGACGCCACTCTGGGTTCAAGTCCTAAACAGAGTTTGCTCCTGCTTCTCCTCTGGGTTCTAGCACTACCCTTCATCAAGGCAACCTATCTGGGAGCACTCAACCTCAACTCCATCTTCCCTGCAGCCCTCAAACACTTCTGGAAGCTTCTCTCCTCATGTCTTGCCTGAGAAACCGTGTAGAGGCAAAGCATGGAGTTCCCAAGCCCCATGCAGGCTGGTCTGCCCTCCACCTGACTGCATGTCTGGACAGTTGTTAGCCTCTTGCGGCCTCAGGCTCCTCATCTCTCTGATGAATAAACCTTCTGGTTTTGCTTTGAGGATTAAATGAGACTTACATAAAATAGTTAATAGTCCCTGGAGAGCTCTGAGCCTCACAGCCTCCTCCCACCTGGGCTTGCTGCCTCTGGCTCTTTCTCCACCCACCTGTCCTCTACACTGCCCTGGCGTGACCTTCCTAACACACTGATGTGGGGAGGTCAGGCAGTTCCTGCTTAAACCCTCTGGTGCTCCGAAATAAAACCTACTTCTCAGATTCTTCCCAGTGAAGCCACTCTTGCTGGCCCTTGCTCTGGTGCCCCTGCATGTCTTGCTAGGAGCTTACTGCCTGTTGCTTAAACGTGCCAGCTATGTCCAGGCCTGTCAGTGGTTCCCCACAGTCCCTCCTGGCTAAATCTCAGACACATCTTTTAAAACACTGCCCAAATGTGGGACCAGCAGTTGACGTAATGGCTATGTCACTAGACTCCCATGTAGTCGACCGCAGTTCGAGTCCTGGACCCAGTGGCTTAAACTCATGCCAGGGGTTTGTGCGTGCGTGCATGCCCAAGATCCTGAGAGGAGAATGGAGAAGGGATTGTGGCGTGACCATCCCCCCCGGGGGGGTGATTTCCTACCTTCTGTCTCTCTCTGTCTTTCTGGTGAGCACACGTGCCCCATAGCAAAAACCTCTCCCCCAAAAAACAAAAAACAAAGAAACGAAAAAAAAACCCACTGCCCAAATGTTACTTTCTCTGGAAATCCTTTCTTGATTCCAAGACTTGGTTTACTTTGGGCTTCTGCAGCACTATGTATGAAATCTCCCTCATGGTCTCATCTGCTAAACCTGACCTCGGCCTTCTAGATCTTCCGTGTAGCCTACAGCCACCCAGATATTAGGAGACAGAACCGGCATCTGGTTCAACAATCCTGCACTGTTGGCTCCTACTCTGTGCTGCCTCTTCCTGCAAAAATCCCTGAGGCCGTGAGCTGGGAAAAGGTGGTTCCAGAAACGCTTCAAGTATACAGGGCTCTATGCATAATTTACAGTGAGGGAGGAGATGATGGTTACTTGACTTGAAATTAATTAAAATGAAGTGAAGTTTAAAACACAGTTCCAGGTTTGCACTGGCCACATTTCAAGCGCTTAATGTGGCCGGTGGTGACAGGGGAACAGTGTGCGCGTGGGACACTTCAACACTACCACACTCCTGTTGAGCGTTGCTAGTTCACAGCTTCGAACAGCATGCCAAGGGCCTGAGGGCCACGCAGTTAAACACCACAGCCTAACCTATTACCATACGCATGCAGAGAGGGCTCTTCAGCTGATACTGTGTCCAGCTGCCACTGTCCCAACCCAGTCACTCCGCACACACAAAGAACAGTGGAAAAGACCAAGCAAAAATGACCTGGCATAGCTGCTACTGCACGATAAGGAAGCCTCCTGTTTACAGATGGCTCATTTTTTATCAAACAATTTTGAGGACCTACTATGTGACCTGCACTTGTTATATAAGATAAGGTGGACATAATGATGAATAAGTCATAAGCTTGTGATCACGTCATTATACCAATGCACTGTCCTGGTGTTGGAAGCCCAGCAACAGGGAAGAGAAAATGTATAGTTAGGGAGGGTTGCTGGAAATGGTGTCTTGAGGGATGAGTAGGAGTTCACTGGAGAAAGAGCATCCAGACCAAGGGACCCACCTGTGTGAAGACTCCTCGCAGGGTCGGCAGCCCTGCCAGGTGGGAGAGGGAGGGGCCAGGTTGGCCCCAGGATGCCCAAGATATTAAATCTTCCATCAAAATCATGCATGGAAGTCTGATCTACCTTTGATCCTATCAAAAAAGGGCAGCAACTAAGCCATTCTTGTGCTCAACAAATAATAGTCGAGTGTCTAGTATATGCTTCATCCTACACTCCAGAGAGACAGCTTTAAACCCCTGCCCCTCCATCCCAGGACTTACACAGGATCTTAGTGTCTCTTCTCACGCTGCCCATTCCCTGGACATTCCCTGGACCCTCTGTGTGTCCCCTTTTTGAGCTCCTTCCTGGACTCTGCCTCTAAGACCATTGAAAAGTCTTCAATAGTATAGAATGCAGCCAAGGAAAATAACCTGGATACCACCAAAGAGATATTACATGGAGGGAGGCAGTATTCTGTCCTTCTAATAAACCAGGGGCTACAACCTACAGCTTACTGTGGACATGCTACACACTGGGACTCTTTGCTAGGTGCTTTACATCACATGGTTAATTCCAACACCTTGCAAGCCACCTTTATAGACAAGGGCATGGAGACTAGAAGGGGCAATGTGACTTGCCCTTGGTTATGTTGCGAGAAGGTGAAGGAGCCAGGGCCAGAAAAAAGCAGCCACCTCCCCACCCTGCCATGCCTTCCTCCTTGCAGGACTGCATACACTCAGCAGAGAAGTCCCACACTTGTCTGGAATCCAACCCCAACTCTTGATGAAACTGGTTAGAAATTTCACATACAGAAAATGCAATCACTGGGTAAAGAACAGCAAATATTAGGGGTACCATATATGGAGACAGATTCCATAGAAGAATACAAGTCATGCTCTTTTTACATGCCCTGACAATTGGGTACAATGGCTTTGATCAGAACTGTCAAATAGAACTTTCTACGATAATGGAAATGTTCTTTTATCTGTCCTGTCCACTGCCAGATGTGAGTAAGCCACATGTCAGTACTGAGCTGGTGCCACTGGGGAAATGAAGTGGTCCTATAGGGCACAAGTGCTCACCAGAGAGAGACAGCTGGAGAAGAGGAGGGAAAGTGAGAGCTCACTCCCCAGGGGGGATGGCCACTCCAAGTCCCCTTTCCTCTTGAGATTCTGGGCACACATGTACACATGTTCAACGTGTTATTCAAGCTGCCAGCTCCTGGACCTGCCTGCCCAGTTGGCCACGTGAGATCCAGTCACCTTAACCAGCATGCCATCAGCTGCCCCCTGTACTTTTCAAGTTAACATATCAAAACTTACACAGCCACGTATGGCTACTCAGCACCGTATCAGATGGCCTAGATCCTAAGTGCTGAGTTCTACTCAGGAGAGTGACTGGTCCCGAGTCTTTCAGATGGACCAGGGCAGCATATGGCCAATAACTCGTGCCCTCCTTCTCCTAACCAGGGGTTTTCCCATCAGCCACATAGCTCAGCCCACAGAGAAATTCTGCTGTAGTCCACTCCCCCACTCCCAGACAGCTGTTGCACTCTTTCTGTGGAATCAAGTCTTGTGATTCCAGGTGATGCAAATCTGCATTCCAAGGCTAACACTGGGCCCTTGACTTGATGGGCCTTTACTTTGAAGAATTGGTTCCCCTGGCTAGGTCCAAAGGAACCTAGCAGGAAGATCAATGAACATATAAACAAGTTCACAGGGTGTCTTTTCAGATAAGCTGGCACTATCAACATTTTAATAAAGACAATTATTCCCCCTAACCTCCCCCCACACCCCGCAACTAGTGGGAACTTTATGGAGCTTACTCCCTTTGATGACCTTGGTTAAGTACTTGACAGATGTATTTTTTAAAGGAAAGTTGGCTTATCCACAACCACTTACGATGACCTTACTTGGAACCTGTTTTATGCCTACATGCTCATGGCAGTGCACGGGTTAAAGGCCAGCAGGCTTGTGCCCTGTTCTGCACCTTGGAATTGGCCTTCGTTCTCCAGCCTTGGCAACTGCTTCTCACCAGGCATGACCTGCAAGAAGTGCCTGGCAGGAGTCCTTTCCTTCCTCACACGCCATGTGCCAGGGGTACAGGTAGCAGGTGGGGTCTCCGCACACCTGAAGCTGAGCTCTGGCTGGCCCTACCACCTTAGGGAAAAAACAACCAACAAGCCAAGCCGGGCATGCATGTGCATGCATGGACCGCTCCCTCTTACCCGGATTTGTAATCAAGACTAATCAAACTGGGTTCTTTTTATCTGGTTAAAAAATCTTACACGGAGGTGGAGGGAGAATTTTTCTGAAATTCCACCCCTTCTCTAATTTTACTGAGGTCAAACAGTTCTAGAAGGCTTCTGGATGCACCCCTACATTGACTCCTGCGAGCCATCAAGGACGGTGAACCAGTACTGAGTTTCCAGTTGCACAACTGTGTTACTCGGCACCCGGGCAGATGGCACTCTTTGGCCCAAGGCAAGTGGAATATAAGTTTATTTGCTGGTAGCCAAGTTGAAGGGCTTGGGAGTCAGCTCCTTCTTCAGACTTTCGATTTTGGGGTGAGGTGGTACCATTTGATGTGACTGTGTGAGGTGGGGAGGAGAGGCAAGTGGGCCAGACTCTGCACCCAGGCTCTGCTTCAACCTGAGCAACTCACTGACTTGCTTTATCACTGGACTTCACCTCACGTGCTACCCGAAAGGGGACTCTGCTGTGGAGGGTGGAAACTGTGCTAATTCTTTAGTGTAAGGTAGTTTTTTTCTGTAGCAAATGGCACCATCTCTCATCTCAAACTAGTGACACTTCCCAACTGGTGTCCCGTTCTGGCTCCTCCCCCATTACAGTCATCAAAGTGATTCTTAAAAAGCATCAGACCCAGCTGCTCCCTGAAGCACCCCCTTCCACTCAGGGTCTGGCAGCCTACAGGCATATGGGACTGGCTCTCACTCTCTGCCCTCCCTTACCCTGCTCCCTCCTCTCTCTGCCCCTGTGACCCTGCATGGGCTACATCCCTGCCTGGAATGCTCTTCCCCAGGTCATCTAGAGGCTCCTTCCCTCTGTCACCTACACAATGGGGCAGGCCTGACCTGACCACCCTACCTTACACGTAATCACCCTCTGCCCACTTTCCCGCAGTACTCAGCACTGGCTGACCTACTGCAGGACTGACTTATGCTTACTATCGACTGATTGTCTCCCCTAGCTAGAATGCAAACTCCACTGTTTTCTTCACTGTCATATCACCAGCTCCAACAACAGTAACAGCCTGGCACAGGGTTGGAACTTAATGAAGATGTAAGGCAAGGGAAGAGCATCCCAAAACTCATCAAGAAAAAAAGGATTTGGGGAAAGGGAGTGGTGACTTCAGAATCTGAGGACCTTCCTTCTGGAACTTGCAGTGGTCAGACCAATGCAATGAATGACTGCTTAGAGGCCCAACCATTTAATCAGGAAAAAAAGTGTGTACCTTTGTAATTCCCAAAACGCCAATGTTGGGGCTGGATGAAGTAGAGCCATTTCCAGTGCCAAATACGCCATCGAGAACACAGGAGAGGCCCTCCACGAAGATCCCTCTAAAAGTAAAGGAACGGGAAAAAGAGCAACATTCATTCAATTGGGAAACGCTCTGAAATGGGCTGTTGGCAACCCAGAAGTGCAGTCCACAGACCCGCAGCTTCCACGACCCCTGAGAAGGGAAGTTAGAAATGCAGAATCTCAGGCCCTATCCCCGGCCCTGCTGAAGCAGAACCTACATCTTCGTAGGATCCTCCATTTTTCCTGCAGTTTAGAGAAGCACCTCTCTAAATCACACATCAGACACAGGTGTTTTAAAATCATTCCAAATGAAAAGAAAGGATTTTAGCCAGAAAATAAAACCATCTGTTGAGATCAAGGCAAACATAAGCTATTTGTTGAAATAAAACATGTTAAATTGATCCTTTATGACTAAAATCTAGTTTCATTGGGAAAGGTTTTGTAATTTTCTAAACATTATAAAGAATTGGTATATAAATAAACTCAATCACATGTAACAGCTCCATTAGAGAATAATGTAAAAACTAGGACTGCATCCACCACCCCATCCCCCCCAAATAACCAATGTGAAACATGCCAAGAACAAGCTCATCGATCTTGAAATGCACAAGCCTTAAGGGAGAGGCAGCAGCCTGCTGGGAAGGTGGCAGTGATGGGGCTACGTTCTTTTGTCTGCGGCCTCCTTAGGGTTCAACTTTCAGAAGCTAAAAACCAAGTGTTTGAGAGTGTAAACTCCACAGCTCAGAATCCTCTAGATCCTGCAGATGTCCTTAATTCCTGCCTTTCCTATCCCTGTTTCTATTCATTGTAACTGTTACTAGATTCCCAGAGCCTACACTTAAGCACAACTGGAAGGCACCTATCTGAGACCCAAGGCAGTCACAGATACAACAGAGAAGTGTCCTCACCTGTCTAACTGTGGCAGCCAAGACTGAACAGGGGAATGCAGGAAAAATCACCTGGAAATGGTGAAAAATCTATTTTGCTCCAGAGAATCTAACATTTACATGGCAGGAAAAAAACAGTTAGGAAAATAGGACCACAGAGTATCAAAGCAGACCCATAGATCAAGATGACACAAAGCCAAGGAAAGAACAGGGCAACGGCTGGCACTTGTTTAGTTTAAAACCCACAGTGGTCGCATAAAGGTGCCTTCTTTGGTAGTCACTGTGAGTGAGGAAGGGCTGGAACTCTGTTTGGTGTTACAAGTGACAAAAATGAGAGCAGAAGAGGGCAGTGGTTTGTGCAGACAAACTGCCCGTGAACAGTCCTGCTGCTGGGCTGCCTTCACACTGAGACTCTAGGCCTCTCCTCCAAGGTCATCTAAGCCGAAGCACACAGCACCCAGGCACTGGGCCCAGTGAAGAACTCTCTCGAACGTACCTGTTGATGGCATGGATGGGAGGTGGTGGGGCACAGGACAGCCTGGCACAGGCATAGTAGTCACCGATGGACTCGATGATGCTGGCAACCACTGCGCTGAGCATGCCAATGACGCCGGCCGCGGACACCGTGGGCAGGCCCCACTGAACTGTGGGAGGAAAACAACCGTGACAGCTTCACTTTCCCAGAGGGGCAGGCAAAATTATCAGGACCTCCTGCCATTTAGAGCCTCAGAGGACTGTAAGATCCACTCGCCTTTTGAAGGTCATGAAAATGGTTCATTTAATTTTTATTTTTAAAATCTGCCAGAGAGTGCATACACTTACCAGAAAGAGAGAGAGAACAGGAGAGAGAGGGAAAGTGAGAAAGCACCACCTCCCATGGGAGACGGTCAAAACATAATCCCTTCTCGTCTCCTCCCTCCTTTCAGGATTTTGGGCACACATGCTTAGTGCCAAGTCTGAGACTTGAACCGCATAGTCAGCCATGTGAGACCCAGCCACCTTGATCGCCATGCCACTGGCTGGCCCAAAACTGTTTATTTTTAAATTGTAATGATCAGTGCACCAGATGCCCAGGAGCAGTTACTGAGTAAGACGAAGACAGCCATAACGCTCCATGTCTATATTTGAAAGAAAAAACTGGGGACCAGACAGTGGTATGGCAGTAAGGCCACGCTGCAGTGCTCAACCCACAGGAAGGTCACAGGTCTGCACCCTGGGGCTTCCTCTCGCACCCTGGATGCACGAGTGATCTGAGACGTCTGAGGCTGGCCCATTAAATATTTCACTTAAGAAAATAAAGACAAGGCCTGCTGTAGTTTGAATATCTGGATATATTTCATCCTTCATTAGATATTTTTCCATAAAGATACAACTGCCCTTTGACCAACATAGGTGTGACCTGAACAGGTCCACTTATAATATGAATTTTCATCCAATAAATATATTAGAAAATACAGTACGGTATCATAAAAGTATTTCCTTTCTTATGATTTTCTTCGTAACATTTCTTTTTGTCTAGTTCGCATTATTGTAAGAATACAGTGTGTAATACCTATAATACACAAAACATACATGAATCAACTGCTCATGTTATTGGAAAAGCTTCCTGTCGTCAACAGACTATTAGTAGCTAAGTACCTAAGTTTTAGGGAAGTCAAAAGTTACACTTGGATTTTCAATGAGTAGGAGTCAGTGTCCCTAACCCCAGTGCTGTTCAAGGGTCAGCTGTGTCTCTCTTTGGACACTGAGAGCCATAGATCTTATTTGAGAAAAACAGCATGAGCCTCTTTCACTGTTAGAATAAAGACTCCTTTGATAAATTAGCTAGCTCTTCTTCCCTTGAACCCTAGTTCGAATACACCCACTAAGTATAAAGCACCGTGGAAAGAGAAAGATGGATAAAACGTGATCTCTTGTGCAGGAGCCCACATTGTAGCTCAAGGAACGGGATACTCTGAAGGATGTGGGAACAAATGAGGGCAAGCCGTGCTGGTTCACGATATAAGGAAGGAAGTCTGGAGCGGGCGGTGCCAGTCCCTGTCCAGGGAGAGACCAGAGGGAGAGGAGGAAGTGCAGGTTCCCCTGAAGGATGAGGAGGGCCTGAAGCACAGGGACCGGCTGGTACTCAGCACAAGGGGTCATGCAGCACAGGGGAAGGCATGTCTAGGAAGGGCTGGACCACCACCTAGGGCACTTGGCCTTTGTGTCATCGGTAAGGGAGCATGCACAGGGGTGGCAGAGAAGGCTGACAGTAAGATGTGTAGGGTACGCCTCAGCGTGTTTGTACACAGGGCTGCTCCCACCTGGGGGCAGCAGACACAGAGGCAGCCTTAGTGAGAGGCGTGGGGGCCACAGGTCCACCCCAGGGGTTCAGCACGTTCTCTGCTGCCCAGCAACAGGCTTGGTCAACACCTCATCTCCGAGTTGGTATTCTATAGATTTTTCTTTTAGAGGCCTTCTTCGCCAAGCAACATTTTGCTTTTCCTATGATTACCTTGTTATTACTGTTGCATTGTGGTTTCATTTTAGAGTTCTGACTTTGAAGGGGAGCGCTTATTTTAATCCTTTTCCTTCAGATATATTCATTTTAAAAGCCTTGCTGGCTTCCAGCCTTCTGTCTCAAACCTGTGATTTTATCCCTCCTTTCAACTAGAACCTTTAATTTATTCTGTTATTTTACAACAGGGTTTCTTGGCCTTGGCACTGTTGACACTTTGGAACAGACATCTTTATATTAACAGTCAATCCAGGTAATTCTTAGCACACTGAAGGCTGGGAACCGCCACTCTAAGCATTTGAAAACCTGTCTCTGGATTAAGCCAAATTGACAAAGAATACTCAAGACTACATCTCTGGGCTTTTTATCTAGTGGTGTTTTGGTAAGACACCAGCTCTCAGTAGTCAAGGGCTGGAACAAGGAGCCTGCCACACTCCTCGCTGCCATTACGTCAAGTGCCCTGTGCACTGAGTTAGGCCTCCTCGGGCATGGGGGCCCTGAGTCCCCCAGGGGAAACCCCTCTGGTCAAAGCAAATCAAACAAACAGAAAAAAAAAAACAAACAGCTGCTTCTCCTCAATAGCCCACCCATGTCCCTAACGGTGCTCACTTTGGAAGCCACCTGTACAGACACAGAGGACCATGCTACGGCTGCTCTGGGGACACCCCCTGACCTGCTGCCCCATACATGCTCTGTCTGCCTCACCACATGATTTTACTCTCCTGTAATCTCAGATTATAGGTATGTTTAGGCACCATGTACATTCTCTTCCGGAAAAAGGATAGGTATAGGTATGCATAAATACACACTTGGTCAATGTGATCTGAAGAGAATGTTATTTTAGAAAGACTTTACTTTTTTTTTAATGCTTTAATAAATGGATCAAGAACAAAAAGAATGACTGCCAACATCCCCATTTGACATGCTTAGAGCAGTCTTCTGAGGTCCAATCTCAATATTTTGGCTTTCTTGCCTCTTCTCCTTGTCATTACGAAATAAAATATAAGACGGATAAATGGGGGGATAAATTGAATCCGCCTGAGTAAGCACAGGCTTTGATTCTAATAAAAACCCCCAATTCTGGGAAGCCTTCGCTATAGAAACAAAGAGGCCTGGAACAACCGCTGGTTCTATAAAAGCCACTTTGGGGGTTGAGACCTAGAAGTTTTCCATGCAAATCCAGGTGACACCTCAGCTGGGGGCTGTTATTTCCCCATAGTTACCCAACCCTCAAATTATAACTTAAGGCTGCTTCCGGCCATTTGTGAATTATCTGTTTACCTCTACGGCTGTGACCAAATTAAACCGATTAGGGCCACCCATTAAAAGATTATACAAATTCCATCATGCTTCAGCAGTTTGCTCGCTAATCTCCAGGCCCCTCCTCCTCAAGCCTTTCCATGGGGCGGCTCTGGCACCAAGGAGCTCCGGGCTTGCCTTCCTGAGCTGCGGCCCTCTCAGCTCCTGGCCATGGGAACACAAATCTGGCAAGAGACCCCTGCTTCAGGATTTCATCCTGGCCAAGTCAAAGAGCCAATTAGTTCATCTGAGAAGAGAGCTGTTTAGCCTGTGTGCTAACAATGGCCGTCTGGGGACAGGGCCTCCCTTTTCTACTGTCTTATCCTCACTGACCAGCACGTCAAGACATTTGTGTACACAGGGGACCTTTCATGCTGCAGAGCCTTCTGCTAACTTCCGGCCCCTCTGAGCTGGGGTTCTTGACTCCACTGGTCGACAGAATACTTACACGGATAAGGAACTTTAAACCATGGGGCTACCAGAAGCACACCCTGCCTGGCGTCCGTGCGTGCATAGAAGCCGTACTTTGTGCTGTCGGGAGGGAAGACGTCTGTCACTGTGAAGATGAAGCAGAGCAGCCAGGACACGAGGATGGCCAGGATTATCTGAAGTGGTCAAGGGAAAAGCTGTCAGGCCAACCGAGCTAGTGGTCGTTGGCAAAGCATGCACCTTCCTACTGGCTGAACACCAGAGCCCATGTCCTGCGTTGTCAGTACTGAGAGAGTGAGCAGTTTCTCACAGGTAATTTTATAGGTTCATCCTTCTGAGGCCTGGTCAATAAAATACTGGGTTGTTGGAAAAGTCATGATCATTTTCACATAGAAAAACAGAAAAAATACATCATGACTATCCCAATGACCCAATGAAAATGAGCACTGTGCCTGCAGAAATCACGTGAAGTCACGCTGCACTCGGTCCCAAGAACAATGTCCACCCTCCCACTCCAGCAGCGCTCAAAGGATGTGCTCTTGGAGGCCGGACCGTGAAGCAGCGGTAAAATGTGATGCTCTGTGAGGCAGACTGACACGGGAAGGTTGACGGTTTAGATCCAGAGACCTCCCTGAGTACACTGGGCACGTGAGTACCCACGACTGAGGGTGTCTCTTTTACTCACTGAATACATAACTTGGGGGAAAAAAGGTGGGAGGAGAGGAGAAATGTGCTCCAAATTCAGAATTAGAACCCTTCACTGCTTCCGAACTCTAAGTCCATGATGACGCAAGTAGCCATTTACTAATGTACCCACATGTCACCACACAGACACAGGAGAATCTGCCCAACAGTCTTTCACATAAACATTTTACACACGAACCAAACGCAACAGGGTCAGGAAAAACGGAAGTCACTACTCACAGGGAACATTTTGAAAAGCTGTAACTTGTATGCAGTCCACCCTTTCTTGGACTTGTAAATTGGGAGAGGAAATTTAACATTCCTGGCATATTGAGAAAATAGCAATACTAGAAAAATTGTCCTGCGGAGAGAAAGAAAATAAACTAGATTAAAGGCTGTTATGTCTGTGTTTTACAATAACATTCAAAGCTTCAATGGCAAAATGAACTATGTGTGCAAATTGACTTACCTAGAAAGATGCTCAATCCTCTCCCTACTATTCGGAAATACTGTTTAGGGAAGGTATAACTCACTTACCTCGCATTTCTTGAGACTGAAATAAAATTGCAATGCAAATGCTTTGGCTCAATTTTCCAAAATAGAATAAGAAAACCAGAAGAACAAGCACACGATAGGAAAAGCTCATACTACCTAAGGGGAACAGCTGCCAATACAGTATAATTACAACTATAAATGAACTAAAAAACCAGGAAGCTACTTTGTGCGCATGCACCTATGCACTAACAGGTAAGGACGAGATCCGAAACGCTCATAGGGTTGATGCTATGGGTTGAATGTGTCTCTCCAAAGTTCACGTGTTCAGGTATGGTTTCTGCTGTGACAGGATTAAGAGGGTGAAAACTTAATCTGACTGTGCTGTTGAAAAGGCTATTAGGACCAGGTCGTTAGGGTGGGGTCCCCATGGCTGACTCCTGGTGGGTTTACAGGAGAGGAAATGAGACAAGCACAGAGCATCTTCTAGGCGTGATGCTCTGAGCTGCCTCAGGACGCTGCGTGGTCCTCACCCACAAAAACACCCACACCAGTGCAGCCCCTTGACCCTGAATCTCCAAAACCACTGGCTAAATAACCCTCTATTTTTATTTATTTATTTTATATAAATTACCCAGTCTCAAGTATTCAGTTTTTTTTTTTTTTTTTTTTTTAAGGTTTTTTCCACAGGGGTGTTCACGTGCAAAAGTGAGAGGAGAGAGACAGAGACGGTGAGAGGAAAAGTGAGAAATCACCCCTCAGGAGGGACAACCACACTGTAATCCCTTCTCCTCCATTCACCCCTCGGGATTTGGGGCATGCATGCACACACACACACAGTGTGACTGTCAAACCACCAGGTCTGGACTGCAAATCACGGTCGGCCATATAAGAATCCAGCTCCTTATCCACCATGCCACCTGCTGGCCCACAGATACTCAGCTATTAAGCAACAGATTGGGCCAAAACAGTTGGCTTCATGTCGTGATATGATTTGTGGGCCTTTTTCCTACTTTTATATATTTTCTGCTTTATTTACAATGAGCATACTTAATTATTTTTGAAAAGCAAAATGTGGGCCAGCCAGGTGGTATGATGGTTAAAATGGCTGGATCTCACATGGTCAACTGCGTGGTTTGAGTCCCAGATCTGGCAACTTGAAAAAAACACCAGACGTGAGTGCCAAAATCCCAAGAAGAGAATGGAAGAGAAGGGACTGTGACATGGTCATATCCCTGAGGGATGCTTTTCTCAGTTTCTCTCTTTTTCCTTCCCTCTCTCTCACTTTCTCTCTCCAGCGAGCACACACACTCCGTGGCAAATTTTTAAAACGCGAAAAGTAAAATTTCAAAATTTAAGTAAACTGTATACAGCAGCATTCAGTATTACTAATATTCCTGAGAGGATTTTGTATGTCAGACGCTAAGGTCTTCCTAGGCACCAGCTCAGCCTTATGGGGTGGCTTCGATGACCACCCCTTTTTAGAGACAAAGTCAGCAATCCAAGATCACTCAGCTCTAGTCTGTGTGTGGTGGTGGGGCCAGAGACCCATTTCTATGCTTCACTACTCCCACACTGGCCACAATGGCGGCGCCAGAGGTCCTTGTCCCTAGAGCGTCACATTCCTGATGAGCTGCCGAGGACCACAGGAGCCAGCGAAGGTAGGGACCTCCCTACAGCTGGACCTTGGCACCCGCTCAAGTCTGGTGCTCCACGTGGCTGGCAGGTATGAGACCACGTCCCATCCCCCCCTGGGTGGATGGACTCATCTCTGAAAAAATAAGAGTCGCCAACAAGGTCTCTAATCACCCGAGATGTATCTGACCTGCAATGCACATTTGTTCTATCACTTACAACCTGAGAGAGAGCTGGAAGGCAGAGAGGGTTCTTAGTCAAAGCCAAGCTTAGTTATCCCTAGGCGAGGTTCCAGCTGTTGAGACGGAATTATCAGCCCCATTGATGGTCAAGGGGGCTTGGGGCCTGGCTGAAGGCAAAGACCTGTGCTGCTCCACCTGCCTGTCTGGGTGTTTTGGGGACCTGGAGAGCCACGGGGGCCTCTACCCGTACCCCTCAAGGTTGAAACCACACACGATGCTTCAGTTACTCGAATTCCTCCGGGATGGTGAAGTTTAACAAAAAACAACATCACAATGAAGGATACCAAAATTGCGTATTTTAAACTTAGACCCACAAAACTTATATGTCTGAGAAAAAAAAAAGCTACTTATTTGTTTCAAACAATATGAAATCCCAAAAGTGACAGATCTGTTATTATTGTTACTGTTTAGGAAACACTCATCTGCAATGTGGTGCTCTTCAAAGCAGTTGAAAAGCAGGCAGGGACACCCGGACCCCAGGTCTAACTCTGGCCACTCAAATTAGGTGAGCAGATTAGGCAGATGAAGACCACTACGCTGTCCTCCCATTCTAAAACGTTACCTGCTTCTAGTTTGTTTGATCTGCTTATTCATTTCTTAAAGTCTCACTATCGCAATCCTCTTGCTTCAGTCTCCCAGCTGAGATTGCAGGCATGCCACTACGCCTGGCTTTTCTTTAGACAAGATCTTATCCACTGTGTTACCCAGGTCAGCCTCAAGTTTTTAATGTCCCTGCCGTGGCCTTCTGAGCCTCTGGGATTATAGGCACAAGCCACCATGTCAATCCAGCCTTTAGATCAGACTAGGAATGGAAGCTGGGCCTCCCGCATGGTTCCAACCTTCTGCGTGGTGCACAGTGTATTAGCAGCATGTGCCACCACAGCTGGGCCCTACTACTAACTTATTTTTATCTTCAAACACACTGGTGGGGCAGGCGGGACCAGCACCCACATGACAGACAGGCCCAGAGGAGATGTGCCTACGTAGACACGGTTGTACTCAACAGAAAAGAGATGATGGCTCCAATCCCAGACCCTCAGGCTGTGGTTCTACCTATTACACCCAGTGCTTTCCACCTCTTGTTCACACTTTGCATCTCTGTTGACCTTTCTTTCACTTTCCCTGGACATTCACTTGGGTGCTGGGCACCAGGGTCAAAGGAAGACAGACTGATTACTGTCACCTTATCCTTGGGATACAGAGATCACTATCTAACCCCACCTGGGATTACAGCTGACACACTGCTTCCTGACAGTTTCTAGCACCTATTAGTGCCAAGAACATTCTTCTTCTACCTCAACAGATGCAGGACCGTCTCAGAGCCCCAGTAGTAGCTTAGAATCCCACTTTATGGCTGGACCACATCTTCTCTAATAATTCCCATGTTCTTACACAGAAAGCGACATAAACAACTTTACAATCCCACCTGGAGAGGCCAAGAATGACCACTTAATACTCACTGCAACAAGGGCTCTTATTTCACTTTTAAATCCCTACCAATTACATCAATTTCAAAATATTGCATCACCACTTACTTTGAACATTCATTCTCTATGCATGAGGATACATATTTCAGCATGGTTTGCAACAACAGCAAATATTTAAAACAACAGGCAAGAGTATCAGTTGGAGAATGGCTGAATAAATTACAGACCATGCACACTATTTAACATTGTGCAGCTCTACCAAGAACAGGATCAATCTAAATATACTGTCTTACAAAGGAGAGCCCAGCAAATTGTTGGGGTGAAAAATAAATTACAAAGTAATATGATGCTAAAACTGTATTTTCACATGTTTATATTTAATACATAAAAGATAAGGAAAGATAAACACTGAATTTTTATTACCTAACAACCATGGGAAGATTCTGGGCTTTTTATTTGAGAGATGGGGTCAGTGGGTGGGAACTCAATTTCAAATGATCAGAATTTAAAGGAAATGGCAGGGGCTGGGAAAGAGGGGGGGATATATGCTCTCGAACATTTGACAGTGGTACATGGGGGTCATTATATTACTCTCCCTACTCTGCATAGGCTTGAAGTTTTCCATAAGTAAATACCAATTTTCTCATGAAAAATACAGGTTCTATCACGCACTTACATATTATAATGACTCTCCCCTGGGAATCTATCTCTGAACTCTCTCACAGTAACTTAGGAAGACATGTTTGTATGACCTGATCCACTCCACTTCTGACAGCTGTGGTGTGGATGACACACATTTTGATAGCTAGGGAGAGTAAATCTTTTACTCATTAATTAGCTATCTGTCTTTCCATTTCTGTTGAACAGCTGCTCATATTATACCCCTCATCCATGACTCCCCTGGGATTCTCAGACTCTTAAATAAATTAGTGAAACTTTCTATGAATTAGGTACATTAGCTTTTGTTAGTTATTGTAAATATTTTCCGAGATTCATCTTTAATTTAGCTTCAATGATTTTTGATATGCATTTCAATCTAAAAATCTTCCCATCTTTTTCTATTCAATATCTGTTTTAAGAAAGATCTTCCTGGCCTACCTTTGATAGTGTGCACTGCTAAGACGCTGCGTTCCACAAGCTGGGACTACAGGAGGCCTGGGCTCCATTTCCAGTCCAACCTAAAGGCTAGCATTGGGCTGTGCTCCTATAACCCCAGGGACTCAGGGAGGCTGAGGCAGGAGGATCACAAGCTTGAGGCTGGCCTGGGCAGCACAGCAAAATGCTGTTTTCAAAAGAAAGAGCCAAGTGCAGCCGTGTATGCCTGCAGTACCAGCTGGAGTCAGGAGGACAGCAACGCAGTGCCACAGCCTTTAAAGGGCAGGAAGGGAGGGAGGATCTTTCCTAGCAAGGCCTAGAGAGCCTCAGCTTCCCCATGGGACTACAGAGCTCTGCTTGGCCTGGGAAACCATGTCACCATAATGCCAGCAGACCCTCCTGCAAGCATCTCTGTCTCCTGCCAGTCTGGAAGCATTTCCGAGTCTCATCTAAAGGATTTGGCTCCTTGAGATTTCGACTCATGCACATGAAACTTGGCATGACCTCCAAAGTCAAGAACTCCCTCTAGTCATTAGCAAGGTTTAAAGCCTTCCAACCCTTCCTCTACACATCACAGCCACTGCCAAGTCTGTCTTTGGAACAGCTTGACTGTATGTCACTTTCTAACCGCTGGGTCTAAAAAACCCTCCAACTAGTCCCTAGCATAAAATGAACAAAGTTTAAACTGTCAGACTATTGTTATGTTTAATCTGTAAAGTCTATGTGAATGTCCCAAACATTCCAAAAGGTTGTCCCATAGTGGTAGGGGGAGGGGAGGCTTCACTGTCCACCCTCAAGGGGTTCCAGAACACTTACAGCATGGCAATGCCCCAGTGCTTCCCCGCTCTCTCTCCTGCTGCCTGGAAACCAGAGAGGCCGATGAGGGCCACGGTGGGCGTAATGGTCAGGGGCCCGATGTACTGCAGCAGAGCCCCAGGCAGGCCCAGGAGGCCAATGACCACTTCGATCAGGGAGGACATGATGATGGCACCCTGGATCTGCAACAAGAGATGGTACAGCCTTGAGAGGGAGTTGCCTGCATGTCAGACACTATGAATGTCATCAGCAACCACAAGGGGTAATTCTACAAGGCAACGGTTACTACGTAACAGCACGACACAGCTGGAATATCCCCTGGGACCCTACCAGAAATGTCAGTGGCAGTTAACTGGCACAGAAGCAGACTTAAGTAGGACATCATTCATGCAAGAGTATCACAGAAATGGGCACTGAACACCAAGCCTGCCTCTTCCACTGATAAATGGTACAGATGGAATTTATAATTGCCTGTTACACACATTTCAAAACCAGCCTTAAAGAAACATTACAGCACGAAGACGGTGTCTTGAAGGACAGAGTCCTACAGGACATTTAAAGGTAGTGTTATTGGTGTTTAGGGCAGCTGGGTCCCAGATGCCAGCCACATGATTCCAGCCCTGGACCCGGTGGCTTGGAAAAACATGCTGGGTGTGTGCTCCAAATCCCAACAGGATGGGCGTGATGGAGAAGGGAACCGTATCCCATAGGAGGTATTTTCTCTCTCTCTCCAGTGAACATGGCTTCTGGCAAAACTAAAAAGCAAATGATAGTGTAATTCATGAAAATTCTAAAGGGGTATTTCTATTGTGCAGAAAGGCCAGATCCGTGCTAATTCAGAACAGATCATGAGTGACCTCATAGGTTTGGGAAGACATGAATAAGCTGTCGGCCGCTCCTTCCTGTCTGGGGACTACCACCTACTGTTCTGTTCAAGTGCAGTCTGCAGACAAGTATCTTTAGTTCTTTCTCAAATACAGGCAAACCCTGAGGCCGGAATGAACAATTTTGCTGTCTGCCACAAGCCCCTTGGGTCCCTGTGGTGAGCCACAGCCTCAGCGGTCTGCTCTGAGTGGACAGGCCTGTAGGTCTGCAGGAGGAAAGAAACAACACTGCCTGGTTGCAGGAAGCATTGCTACCTGCTGCATTTTGGAGTGGTGTTAACTAAATTTGGTTTTAACAATAGGGATAAATGTTGCTGTAGTCATAGAAGAAAAGGGCTGAGTAAAAGGAACAGCAGTTTCTTTTTTTTTCTCTCTCTATCTCTCTTTTTTTTGGGGGGGGAGAAGTTTTTTTTGTTATAGGGCATGTATGCTCGCCAGAGAGACAGAGAGACAGAAAGCGAGAAATCAACCCCCGGGGGGATGGCCACGCTGCAATCCATTCTCCTCTCGGGATCCTGGGCACGCACACACACGCGCCTAGTGTGAGTTTAAGCCACTGGGTCCGGGACTAGAACCGTGGTCAACTACATGAGAGTCCAGTGATAAAGCCATTATGCCAACTGTTGGTCCCAGGAATGGCAATTTCTTGGACACAACCATCTCCAAAGCTGAAACACAAAGAAGCCATGAGCCAATGAGGGTCTCACCTCCCGGATCCGGGGGTACCAGATGTGCTCCGTGTGCAGCAGCTCTGCTGTCCCATTGGCCACTGAAACATCTTGAAAACAAAAACAGAAACAAAGTTTTTCTTGGAGTGACACTGATGTTTCACAGGACCCATTTCACCCTTTAAGAAGAATTGTCTCCCTGTCTTAAGTATATATGTGTGTCAACACCCAACCCTAAAATTCAACATCCAACAGTACGGCTTATCATACTGAAAGGTGGATTCCCCAACTTAATTTAACCAAATGTCTTCATCGACTGAGAGCTCCCCAACTTGTCAAAGGCTGTCTAAAGTGCTAACACGTGACTAGTACCAGCCTCATGCCAAAAAAAAAAAAAAAAACCTTTAGCCTGTGGTGAGCCACAGCCTCAGCGGTCTGCTCTGAGTGGACAGGCCTGTAGGTCTGCAGGAGGAAAGAAACAACACTGCCTGGTTGCAGGAAGCATTGCTACCTGCTGCATTTTGGAGTGGTGTTAACTAAATTTGGTTTTAACAATAGGGATAAATGTTGCTGTAGTCATAGAAGAAAAGGGCTGAGTAAAAGGAACAGCAGTTTCTTTTTTTTTCTCTCTCTATCTCTCTTTTTTTTGGGGGGGGAGAAGTTTTTTTTGTTATAGGGCATGTATGCTCGCCAGAGAGACAGAGAGACAGAAAGCGAGAAATCAACCCCCGGGGGGATGGCCACGCTGCAATCCATTCTCCTCTCGGGATCCTGGGCACGCACACACACGCGCCTAGTGTGAGTTTAAGCCACTGGGTCCGGGACTAGAACCGTGGTCAACTACATGAGAGTCCAGTGATAAAGCCATTATGCCAACTGTTGGTCCCAGGAATGGCAATTTCTTGGACACAACCATCTCCAAAGCTGAAACACAAAGAAGCCATGAGCCAATGAGGGTCTCACCTCCCGGATCCGGGGGTACCAGATGTGCTCCGTGTGCAGCAGCTCTGCTGTCCCATTGGCCACTGAAACATCTTGAAAACAAAAACAGAAACAAAGTTTTTCTTGGAGTGACACTGATGTTTCACAGGACCCATTTCACCCTTTAAGAAGAATTGTCTCCCTGTCTTAAGTATATATGTGTGTCAACACCCAACCCTAAAATTCAACATCCAACAGTACGGCTTATCATACTGAAAGGTGGATTCCCCAACTTAATTTAACCAAATGTCTTCATCGACTGAGAGCTCCCCAACTTGTCAAAGGCTGTCTAAAGTGCTAACACGTGACTAGTACCAGCCTCATGCCAAAAAAAAAAAAAAAAACCTTTGCAAGCCGCTAACTAAAATGCCCAATGGCAAGGTTGCTGGACTGAGGTTTTAAAAACCTAGATAAAAGAGGGCCCTTTCTGGTCCCTAAATCCAATCAATGGCCACAAGGTAATTTCCAGGAGCAAAGAAGGAAAAGAAGGCTGGAAAACTCTGCTCCTAGAACCTCAAAATGGAACTGTGTTTTGAGAGTACCACAGGTCTGACGGGCTTTGTCAAACTCCCTATTGTTTCCTGACCTGATGGGGTTCCTTAAGGATCTTTTCATCACTAAGGAAGGGGAATGAAAGTCATTGGCAGAAAACCACAGTAGCCAGATCCTTAAAAAGCAAAGATGTTTCAGAGAAGGGATGCTGACGCAGCAGAGAAAGTGATTACTGGTGGGTTATCAAATCCACTGAAAGAGAGAGGCAGAAAAATAGCATGAACATCTTTCTGTTCCGTTCCCATATATATCCACTTCATTAGCATAGAGAAATGAGGTCCCTTCTGGTCCTTACTTGCTCTAGAGTTAGGGATGAACGAGTGGATAGAAAGAGAGAGACAGACACGGTCCACAGATTGGAGCGCTCTCGGCTGCGTGTGGGTTTGTGTGTTCTGCGCTTCGTTCCAGAAAGGGGTTAAGGCTGCTCAGAGCAGAACGTCCAGGCCTCCCTTTTATCACCTGCATTAAAGGACCCCCATGACATATGTGGAAATAACTGCAATTACCTGTGGTGTTACATTTCCATTTATCTAAAGACAGGATGGCTCGAGCAGGGGCCAAAAATGCAAAAGCACTGGCCTGAAACAGGGGTAACCTAAAAGAAACGAGACCAAAACCATGATCACGGCATTGGGAACTACCGAGGTAGTTCGCTATTTGACAGCTTAACAGTCTTTTCCATAGACACACAGCACATGAGTAAATGCAGGCACACCTGGAGGAAAGAGCCCCGTCTGCAAAGTCTTCTCTACCACGAAGCCAGGGCCATTGGCTTCTCCATCCACCCCTCCTGCTGTTCTCCCCCACACAGCTTCAGGGCAGGCCCTGGGGGACCCCAGGGGTCAATGGCAATACCCCAACACCAGCCCCTGCCATTGCCACCTTTCCCCTGTGCAGTCGGGGACGTCAGGTATTGGGGTATCCCTTTCCGGCTGGACTTATTGAGCTCCTTATTAAACACCAGCGTATACCTGCTATTTTACCACCTTTAAAATTCTTATTCGTTATCATCAAAAAAAAAGAAATCTATCTCCCACTATGGTTCCATTTTGTGAGTCCAAAACCACCCTAATTGTGAAGGATAGTTATTGAAATCATGTTAGTGATTTGGATCTAGAGAGGAAAAGAAAAGCTGTAACTTACGAAGAGACAGTGGACACAATAGTCGGCTTAGTAAAAGAATATTTCAAGTGCTCTAAGATATTTTTAACGAGCCCAGAAAGCTTGCGGGCTCTCCATCATATTTCCTGCCCACATCCTCAAACTAAATGCAGAGATCCTCAAATGCCATCATTCGGTTGTACTTGAAAATACGTAACACTAAGCTTTCTGAATGCTTTAGCTACACAAATTCAAGATTTTTTTTTTTTTAAACTGGAAGCGTATAGCATTCCAGGTAAGTCGTATTAAATGGCTTTATAGGTAAGCATGAAAACGTAATCACTATTTCTAGGTCCAGCTGCCACAGTGCAAGTGGGAAAGTGTCATTGTAGAACGGTTGAAGCTGCATGGGAGGTCCAGGTTAGATTCTGGGCCTAACCTAAGCAGGCCAGGTGCAGTAGCACACAGTAGTCCCCACTACACTGAGAGGCTGAGGCAGGAGGGCTGTGACATGGCAAACTCCATGAAAAACACTTCTCTCTCTCTCTCCTCCTCATTAAAAAGAATATATATATATATATATTATATATATATATACATATATATAATATATATATATATAAAATCACTATTTTTAATACTATTTTGGCAGTAAAATATAAAACTGGCTCCTTCTGTTTGCAGGCCTGGAAACTCCCAGACACTCTAATCTTTCTAAATGCCCCAACTAGCCTTGTCAGTGGCCTGGCCGCGAGACAGGAATCCAGCATCCTCTGCTCCGAGCGGTCTGTACCGCCCACAGTGAGATGGCAACCAGACCGAGAAACAGAAGTGGCTCTGGCTGAAGGAGGAGCAGCTGCTTGGCAAGTCCAGAGCCTGGCACATGCCATCCTGAGCCAGGCCCGGGTCAAGATGTTACCAATGCTCTCTGGGCCATCTTAATCACGCTGGCTTCAAGGCAGAGAGCAGGTCCACGGCACAAAGTAGACATGCTGCTGACAGCCTGGCCACTCACATGGGCGTGGCCTCTACCAACCACCCCGGGTTACCTGCTGGAGGGGCCGAGGGCACAGTGTAGTCAAAAGTGGAAGTGCAGGCTCCCTGAGATGGGAACGTACTCAGAGGGGAAATGTTGTTTGACCTACGAAGATTCTGTAAGCACACATTTTCGGGAATATATACTGAAAGACGAAGGGCGATCAGCAGGTAACTAGGTGCGTATGTCACCGCGAACGATCTACCAATAAATGGCTTCTGTCTGATAGTTTCAGATGCGCAGCAACAACCTAGAGCAATGGAATGCAGACGGCCGACGGCACTGAGAGGTCTTGGCCTGGTGAACACGGCTGTCGGACTGCACAGGTGCTCATTAACGCAAAGCCTGGCTCTCCCATGGGCTCACTCCCCAGCCAAATCTCGGCCTGAACCTGACTTTGGCGATGGGCCTGAGTACCTGTCAAGGCAAGAATTTTATGCCTTAACCAGGACTTAAGGGCTCTGAGAGCACTGATGCAGAGACTCACTTGGCCACAAGCAGGCGGGACCCTGGGTTCCTCTGAAAGTAGAAATAGTCTCCCAAGAAGATACAGAAAGAGCTGCCCATGCCAACATCACCGGTACACCATTCCAACTTGCACACTGCCTGCCACATGCTGTTAACACCCACCATAGGTGTGAGCTCTATAACTGGGAGCAGAAATCAGTGTCTTCACTGAAATAATCTTGGGGGAAGGTGCAACAGAGCATATGAGCACATTAAATGGGAGCTTCCCTGGGTCACAACAAAGCCAGTTTTCCAAGAGATGGTAGGTAATGGAATGGCTTTTTCAGGGGGTACGGCATGAAGCTGGTTGGTTCTCAGCTCTTTTCTGCACCCACAGACCTGCTGCATCTCATCTACATGTCTGCTGCACGAGCTGCACGAGTCTCCCCAGGCAGAGGACACTGTCTGCTCTTTTATTAGGTTGTTGGAAAAGTCATGATGTGTTTTTCTATGTAAGAGTGCATCATGACTTTCCTGATGACCCAATATTTTGTACTGAAATTCAAAAGAAAACAAACTAAATTGTGCCTTTCTTTTTTTTTTTTTGGAGAGGTTTTTGCTACAGGGCGCGTGCGCTCGCCAGACAGACAGAGACAAACAGGCAGAGAGACAGAAAGAGAGAAGTCACCCCCCAGAGGGGATGGCCATGCCGCAATCCCTTCTACTCCATTCTCCTCTTGGGATCCTGGGCACGCACGTACACGCGCCCGGCGTGAGTTTTAAGCCACTGGGTCTGGGACACAAACTGTGGTTGACTACGTGGGAGTCCAGCGATAAAGCCATTATGCTAACTGCTGGTTCCAATTGTACCTTTCTTTATACAAGGGTTGCCAAAGTGGCCCCCAGAGATCTGGCATCTTACCTGTTTTTGTTTTTTGTTTTGTTTTTGGTCAAGTTTTATTGGAGCACAGCCATATTCGTTGGTTAATAACCGCCTGTGGCTGCTCTCATGTTACGGCAGTGGCTGGACTAAGCAGTCACAGCAGAAACCTCAAAGCCTGGACTAATCACCGCTTGGCTCTGGACAGAGCAGATTTCCCAATCTGTCTACAGGGCAAATCTATCTGAACTATGTGAAGAGGTGGGGAATGTCTAGGTTAAAGTCTTTACAGTTCATGTCTCTTACGTACTGTTTTAAAATCATCATCATCATCCGAGCAGACAGGCAACTTTGTTTTTGCATGTCAGGCTCTGGCCCCAGGACAGCAAGAGAGCTTAAATCCTGTCAAAGGCTGCCCATTTCCAACTTGGTAGTGTGACCTAAGTCCTTTTGCAGCGTCTTCTCACCAGTCCCTTTCCCCCAGTCAAGCAGCCAGGATTCTCACCTCGGAGCCCATCTCTTGTCTGTCAACACGTGTCTAATGTTCAGCTTTTATTTGTCATTAGAGGCACAGAGAAAATATCACCTCCTCCAGGAAATATTCCTTATTTCCTCTGAATCTGTAAAGTGCACCCCTTACAACTTTCTAGTCAAAATATCTGCAAGTTGCTGGGACCAGCAGTTGGCACAAAAGCTACGTCGCTGGATTCCCATGTAGTTGACCACAGTTCGAGTCCCAGACCCGGTGGCTTAAACTCACGCCAGGCGCGTGTGCGTGCATGCCCAAGATCCCGAGAGGAGAATGGAGGAGAAGGGATTGCAGTGTGGCGAGCTTCCCTGGGAGATGATTTCTCGCTTTCTGTCTCTGTGTCTCTGTCTTTCTGGCGAGCACACACGCCCTACAGCAAAAAAAAAAAAAAAAAACTGCAAGTTGCACCTGCCCCCTTCCCTCCAAGTGGAAGCTGCTTCAGGATTCCCTGGGGAGTGCTGGTTTAAAATGGAGAGTCTGGGGTCAGCAGGTGGCATGGTGGTTAAGTGCACTGGACTCACACATGGCCAACCATAGTTCAAGTCTTGGACCTGGTGGCTTGCATTCTCACATTCTCCTTCTCTGTCTCTATCTGGTCAAATTAAAATAAGAATAATGATGATAAATAAAATTAAACAAAATAATTCTTTAAAATAAATAAATAGATAAAATGAAGATTACTGGGGCTAGCAGTTGGCATGGTGGGTAAGGCGGCTGAACTCCCACAAGGCCAATGGGGGTTTGAGCCCTGGACCTGGCGGCTTGCTTTCTCACTTTCTTTCTCTCTCTCTAATCAACTTCAAAAATAAAATAAAATAATGACAATGAATTAAATTAAATAATTCTAATAAATAAATGCATAGGATGGAGATTCCTGCATGTTACTCAGGTCTGGTTAGGCAGAATCTGGGCGGTGGCACCAAGTCCTACATTTTGAATAATCATTTCAAGGTGAGGCTGAGGCTGAAAACCTCTGAGGGGCTTTTTTCTCCCATTTTGTCACTTGGTAAACATTTCTTGACTATCTGCTTGACACACGCGCAATTACGCAGACACAATGATGGAGAAAAACTGAGCTCTTAAGAGGCTTCTACGGTGTGAAGGAGACATGAATCATGGTCACGTACAAAGGGTGGGTGTGGACGGTTCAAGACCCTGTGGCAAAAGCCACTCAGGCTAGTTTTAGAGCATAAGCGTTTTGCTACCTATGTAAGTGGTGATGCGTATTCCAGACAGAGAGAGGAGGGTTCGAGAAGAGAGCTACGTGGCAGGCCCGGGGACCCTGGAGAACTGCAGGATGTTACCATGGGGGAGCACAGGAGCTGCACTGTGGGTCAGTGGTCAGATGGCCAGTGCCCTGCACTGTCACTGCAGGTAAGAGGACCTAGCTCCTTCAAGCAGCAACCACAGGACTGCTTTAGGGGAACTAGGACAGGTGACCATAACCTGAAGCAGTTCTCAACGTCCTGACAAGCTATGGCAGGGCTCCCTAGATAATGTGCTTTGCTGCTTCCCACTCATCACTCTGCATGCATTCAGAGGACCGGTCCACCGGGGCAGGCTTCCACACACAGCAGGTGACCTGCCCATGTCGCCCACAAG